CTTCTCCTGGCGCACTGTGCTTCTCCCCCACTCCTTCCCCCACCGGAAGCTCCTCTCAAAATTGTGGCGCCGACCGGTGACGGAGCCGCAGCAGAGGGAGGAAAGAGCCACATGCGGCTCCAGAGCCGCAGTTTGCCCTGTTTTAGACCAACCCCACGGACAGCTCAGCAACCACCACCCCGGGGGGGAGGGGGAGGAAACGGCACGCCAAAACTGCCCTGCGGTGTGAGCGCCGTGCACCGAGTGCGAACCTCGCTCAAATTCTCTCCGCTAGACCTTACTCCGGTAGCTCCCGGAAGCTATCTTTGTGAATGTGTGCCAAAAACTAAGTTAGACACACACACACACACACACAAAAACACACACTCCCCTTTCTGGGTTGGGGATGATGGGAGTTGCAGTCCAAGAGACCACGGTTGAGGAAAGGGAATTAAACTCACGAATTTGAGGATCTCAAATTTCTTCTTGGATTGAATCACGTTGATCTGAAAGACAGGGAGGAGGGTCGGGAGTTCGAACCCCGCGGTGACCCGCCACACCGGGGGGTCCCAAGAGCCCTCCCCCCTCCCCACCAGACCCGGAAATGGGACCCTTTGCCAGGTGTGTGTCTTTCAGGACCTCTCCACCACCACCCCCCGCACTCTCTACCTGCAGCACGTAATCGAGGGCTCGGTTACGGAAGTTGGTCCGGGCTGCTTTGAGGGCGGTCGCGGCCTCTTCGGCATCGTGTTGGCGCCGACGGGGGACCTCGGCGTTGTGGTGCAAGGCGCTGCCGAGGCTTTCGCTGCCCCGCTCGAATTCCTTCCGGGTCTCTTTAAACTGCTTAATGTCCCTGGAAGAGGAAGGCGCGGGATTCGCATGATGCCCTTAACCCAGGTTAGCTGCATTCGCAGAACGGATGAACTCTCTCACAGTGATATATATATATATATTTTGGGCCGATCACCAGGAGACGGTGAGTTCTAGTCCTACCTTAGCCACGAAAATAAACTGGGTGACTTTGGGCCAACATATATATATATATTGGCCCAAAGTCACCCAGTTTATTTTCGTGCCTAACGTAGGACTAGAACTCACCGTCACCTGGTGATTGGCCCAAAATCACCCAGCTGACTTTCGTGCCTAGAACGGGACTAGAATTCACCGTCTCCTGGTGATTGGCCCAAAGTCGCCCAGTCGGCTTTCGTGCCTAAGACGGGACTACAACTCCCAGTCTCCTGGTTTCTAGTATGGTGCCTTGACCACTAGGCCAAACTGGGAAGGCAATGGGTGCGTTCTAACCCCCCAATATCTAAACCCAGTTTGACCTAGTCGGGCATCTTGTGTGATCCCGGATATGTGGGGAGGAAGCTACCAAACGCAAAACTAACCATAGTTTGTGTCTTTTTTAAATATAGTTGGAAGGGACCTTGGAGGTCATCTAGTCCAACCCCCTCCTCTGCCCAAGCGGGAGACCCTACGCCACCATTTCTGACAAACGGCAGCCCGGTCTCTTCTTGAAAGCCACCAGGGATGAAACTTGAATAGACAGAGAGAGCCCAAACAGACCCCCCCCCCGGGGTCCCCGGTTCGAATCCTGTTCGGTCCCGAATAATAATTCCCACCCGATTAATTGGTGGGGTTGCTTTCGCGCAAGACGCAAGAAGCCAAGATATCCCCTTCAGACACACTTACTCCTTCACCAAAGTTTGCAGCTGCTGCTTGAGAGACTGCTGCGCGGTCTCCAGGAGTTCCTAGGACCCAAAAAAAAAGAGAGCGTTTTTAAGCCAGCTGCACCCAAGTTGATTTTGTTTCACGCCGTTACTTCATTGTATTTATTTTTTACCGTATTTTATCACATATTTTAGTTTATTGCGTGTTTTATTCTGTTTTATTGCGTATTTTTTGCCACACATTATGAAGTCAATCCTGCTGGTTTTTAAAAACCCATAATCCCTTGCAGGGGGTGGAGTCTGGGCAACTGAATGGAGAGCTGAGTGTTTTAGTGGCCGGATGCCTTTCCCTGTTGCCAATATGGAGTTTTGTTCGGCAGATCTAGTCCCTTATTGAAGAGTTTTAATAGATTTTACAAATATTTCCCTCCCTCCCCCCAACCTCCCAGAGCAAAATACAGGGTATAAACATTTAGCAATCACACACTAACATAAGCTAACTAACATTAGCATCCTACCCCCCTCTTGTACTTTAAACTCCCCTTTTATTAAACCAACTTTAGATAAATGGTAACGTTCCTCGTTCATTCATTCGTTAAGCTAATTGAAATTTCTTAGTCCGATATTTATTTTGAATGTGGTCAATCCAACTTCTCCATTCTCGCTTGTATTTCTCATCTGAATGGTCCTTCAAATAGGCTGAGATTTTGGCCATCTCTGCTAAGTTTAATTTAATTTAATTATCAAAATTTATATGCCGCCCAATCCCGAAGGACTCCGGGGGGCTTACAAAAAAAGAAGAAAGAAAGAAAGAAAGAAAGAAAGAAAGAAAGAAAGAAAGAAAGAAAGAAAGAAAGAAAGAAAGAAAGAAAGAAAGAAGACAGTTTAAAATTATAAAACCACATGCATTCCTTCTAATCGGGGCTGGACCTCAACAATGAGTTGAGTTTACTACTTTTAACGTCCATCCTTGAACAGTAGGCAGTTCTTCCTTCTTCCAGGACTGCGCCACCAACAATCTTGCTGCTGTTGTTAAGTTCAAAATCAAATTAGTCTCTATAACTGTACAGTCTGTGATGATACCTAGCAAAAACAGCTGGGCAGTGAACTTTATCCTCTTTTTAAGAACATTTTGAATAATCCACTGTATTTTTATCCAAAATGCTTTCACTTTTTTTACAAGTCCACCGTATATGATAACACGTAGCGTCAGCGCAAACACATCCCCAGCATTTTAGGTTGTAAATTCGGATACATGCAACTTTTGGGGATCTAAATGCCATCTGTAAAACATCTTCTAAAAATTCTCTCTCAAGTTTTGAGCGCGCGTAAATGTTTTTCATTCCTTACCCAAATCTTTTCCCATCATTATCGGTTCTTCAAAATTTTGTGCCCATTTTATCGCACGGTTTTTTTAACTCGCTCTGTTTCAGAATCTTGTTTCGATCAATGTATCACATCATCTTTTTATACGCATTTGACTCTGGTCCCTAATTTGTTTTACCAAATTATCCTCGTTTTGTACGATAACCAATTTTCTGGTCTTTTTTTTCCCATCTGAATTGTCCAGATTGAAACTAGGTTTGAATGATCCTTTCGTCTCTTAATACATTCAAAGGCTTTAACTGTGGTTCACCTCTCTCGATGTTAAGAAGCTATTTCTATGTAATTACATCCTGTTTTTGTTCTATATTCTCTATTGCGTGTCTGGGTACTACCCACATATCTTGTCATTTAACTTATATCGATATTTTTTCCAGACACGCAGTAGAGCATTCCTTAATATGTGGCTTTTAAAAATCTTGTCCACCTTCTCATCATATATTAAATAAGCATGCCAACCACATACCAAATCATATCCCTCAATATTCAGTATTCTGTCCTCTGTTAAGTTAATCCAATCACTAATTGTTGATAAAACTACTGTTTCCTAGTATAATTTTTCGTGACCCGTCAAAACCGCGGAGGACAAAATCGCGCTCGACAAAAGCGCGCGTTTGACGTCATCACAGCGCGACGAAA